GTGGGCACTAGAGTGGTTAAGGGTGACCTAGCCCATCTCCAATATGTGGACGACACATTGATATTTATAAAAAACTGTGAGAGGGAAATTGTAAACTTGAAATTCCAATTAATGTGCTTCGAGGCCATGTCAGGTCTAAAGATCAATTTCGACAAAAGTGAGACGTTTTTCATGGGAGGAGACCTAGAATTACAACTCTGGGCCGCACACATGATGAACTGTGAACTCGGATCCATCTGCATGAAATATTTGGGAATGCTGATATCTTCCCGGGCCTAACTATGGTAGATTTCTAACCTATAGTAAACAAAGCTGCTGGTAGGGTGGAACAGTGGCAAGGAGAACTTCCAGCATTGAGCGGACATCTGGTCCTCATTAATGATTGCCTCATGAATATTCTCATTTTTTGTCATGGGCTTTATTTTCTTAGGGACGGGACATATGCAAAATTAGACAAAGCGAGGTCTAGATTATTTTGGGCGGAGGAGGGTGGGAGGCAAACATACCATATGGTTAAATGGGAGCATATTTGCTCCCTGAGGAAGATGGGGGCCTTGGAGTGATTAATTCCAAATTTTTGAATTGGTGCCTAATGACCAAGTGGGCTTGGAAGATATTGATGGGCCAAGGGGGGTTATGGCTCTCCATATTTAAACAAAAATATCTCTTGGACCGGGGAACGAAATTCCGCCCGAACATGAAACTTTCTCAGTTTGCCAAGGACGTAAAGAAGGTTCATCATCTTCTTAGGTTGGGTACACGATTTGATATCCGCAATGGCAAGGCGGCTTCCTTCTGGCTTGGTACATGGTGTGGGGAGCATCCCCTTAGCAAGATATTCCCGGCTCTATTCGCTTTTTCCGATCGCCCCCATGCGCAAGTGGCAGATATGTGGGTAAACGAGAGGTGAGAACCCAGATTCCACCGATCACTTGGGACGATCGAGATCGCGGAATGCGATAGTTTACGTGATCGGCTCCAAGGGGTGCAACTCTTGTCGGGCCGAGATGAGGTATCTTGGAAGCTTGAAGCATCCATATGCTTCTCTACCGGATCTTAATATAAAGAGATCTTCAAATATTCCACCCCATGTGACCTTAGTGGTATTTGGAAGTCTCGAATGCCGACAAAGATTAAGATCTTTTTGTGGCAAGTGGCTCGCAATCGTGTAACTAGCGGGGATCAAACGCGAAAGAGGCATGGCCCAAGAGATGGCCTGTGCATTGGTGCAGTGAAGGAGAGGATCGAGACCACCTGCTATTTAGGTCTATTGTAGCGCATTTCATGTGGAGCGCTCTCTGTGAGACCGTTAGGTGCTCATGGAATCCGAGTGGGTTATCGGACTTGCATATGTTAATTATGGGCACGTCTGGCTAGGATCGGCGATTTGCGTGGCTTGGATGGGGCTCTTTGCATGGGCCTTGTGGACGTCCAGAAACAAACCCTTGATTGAGGGAACATTCTGCCGACAACCGGCTGACCTTCTTTATAAAATGGTATCTTTCTTGCAGCTATGGAAGCTCCTGCCGAAACCAAAGGATAGAGGAAGCATGAAGAGGCTCATACTAAGGGTGCTGGCAAAGTTCACTGAGTTATGACGTGCGGGATAGGGAACATCACCGGCTGGGAGCCGCCTCGACTTCCTGCGCTCGTGTGTTTGGGCGATCCTGACCATGGTTAGATCCATGACCGGCTTTGCATCGTCGTTACCAACCTTTGGCTTGTATCGGTACCTTTATTTTTTATAGACTCCTACTACTTTGGTTTTGGTTTTCGGGACTTACAATATGACTTTGTAAGGGCCTCATTATTAAGGCCGGGCAAGGGCCTCCTCTCTCAGAAAACTATGAGACGTGCATGATGACTTTGTAAATTTCAAGATGTTGTGCCGCACCTTGAAAAAAAATGTATGGTGACTTTATAAATCTCAAGATGTTGTGCCATTTCTTAAAAAAAAATTGTGCCATCTCAAGATTTGCACATCATGTACATTTTTTACTCGGTTTGTCTAATTCGCATCTAGATGTTTCTAAGAATGTCACATCTAAACTACAACAAATAAGGCGGCAACAAGGAAAAAAAGCTGAGATAAAAAAAATAAACCACAAACGTAGTGGACATCAGGTTAAATATGACATAATTATGTCATATCTAAATGTGTCCTAGATAGACTTTTTTATATTTTAAAAAAAGTCCTCGTACCACGAACCGAAGCCACCACCGCTAAGGCGATGCGTCAGCCGATCCTCATCACAAAATAATACAGAGAGAAAAATGCCCCGAGAAAACACAAGTAATTAACGGGAGGAGAGGGAGCGAGATAAGAGTCGTCGCAGCGGAAGGAGAGAGAAACAAAGGTGGTAGATGTGAGCCACCCTCTTTGTATCCCTCGCCAACTTCTCCTACCAACTTCTTTTCCTCTCCCCTCGTCTCGCGGCCGCTGCCGCCTTGCCTTGGGCCGCCTTTTCCTACTGCCGCCGCCGGCCGGCCGAAGCCGCCGGTACGTACTCGCCGTTCTTGCCAGCCCCTATTGAACGTCGCGCCGCATTGATTCTGGTCGCCGTTATGGTTATTGAATTACAGGTCCCGTATGTAGGATTGGCTGCCTTTCTTGTTTCCGTGAATTCCGCGCCTGTTCTTGGCCGTGACGATGCTTGTTTGCTTGCTCCACAATCGTATCTTGTGCGTTCTTGCTGGTTGAGTTCTTCTGCGTTTGGATTGGAAGGTGGCGGTGGTTGGGGCCTGGTGGGGACAGACTTGTAGAAAATTCTTGCGTCCTTGAGGGGGTTCTTTTTCTTTGGATTCCTCGATTGGGTTGTTGGGTGGTTGGGCGAGGCTTCTCGCGTCCTGTGTTTGCGATTTATTGATTTATGATGTTTTCGTTCGGTTCATGGCACTGGATGTAATCGGGAATCGTGGCATGAAGATTTGGTAGAATTACATCAATTGATATTATGATAATTGTCACTAAAACATTGCAGGCTTGTGATATGTGATGATTTTTTTAGACTTCACTATTAAGAAACTCTATAATTCTTGGAATGTCCGATGTGTAGCAGGATTCTGTAGGCCCTGGAGTCTAGTGTGTTTGGTCAGTTGTGGTAACTAGTATCAATGACTAGTACAACACCTTACGGAAATTCCAACGTGGATCACCAAATCTGTCCGGACGTCTGAAATCCTGCAAAACGGCACCAACTGCAACGTCGGATTCTGACGCGTGGGCCCCACCTAAACCCCCCCTCTCTCTCCGCGTCGTCTCGAGAACCACCCGCACATTCAGAGCGGACATGATCGGCCGGCTGCCCGCATTCACGCTGGCTGACCGGCCATCCGCCTACTTGGCATTCATAGGGATGAGCCCGAGAAGCCTACTCGGGCGCTCTGCATTCAACCCGGCACTCTGCCTGCCTCGGCTATTTAAGCCAGCTGCCCACGACCCAAAACCCTACCCCTTCGAGCCCTTCTCCCACCGTCCAACCACCCATCCGTCGTCGCCATGGCCTGGTCCTTTGCTATGTGGTACATGAGCCTCACGGCGGCCCGCTGTGCCCAAATCATGGCGGAGGCCCAACGCCAATTCCGCATCAATTGATATTATTCATGTTCGATGTTTGTCCTCCCAGGTCTGCATCTTGTTATACTTGTAATGGTTTCAGAATGCACAAATGGAAGTTCTATGTCTTGTAACAGTGAATACTTGATTGCAATTTTGACGGGTGGTGTTCCTGTGCTAAGGAATTGAAGATAAATTATGAGTTTCTTATTATGCTTACTATTGCCATACGGTATGATTAGGTTCCGTTCAATGTGTTAGTAGCTTATGATACTAAGAAATGAGTGAGGTGTTCTGCATACATTTGTTTGAGGCAACTAAACAATCTATTAAGATGGTAGAGTGCTTACCAGATGCATGATGGAATTGCACCGAGTGCTATTTGATTGAACATATTTAGCACATATAATTTAGCTACTTTATTGTGGGCCTGATGACTATCTTTCTAAGCAGAGTCACTTGGTTTTTTCTCTAAGTTTCAACCTTGTTATTTGTGAAGGGCCTGAATTTTGCTCAGTGTTGTTTATCCTACCTTGTTTTTTCTCTAGTATTGAATCTTTCATGTGATCCCTGTCCCTGGCACACAATTTAAGTGGGTGATAATTGTTAGAAGTGTGGTTTATGGTTAGCAACATACACCTTTTTACCGTGTTAGAAGTCTATGGAAGTGTTGAACAAATAGTCGAGGATTATTGTATTGCTTCTTCGAACATGGGTGATATTATTGTTTATGAGCAGTAGTCATGGCCATTAAGAACAGTGTTACACAACACTGGTATTGTTTAGTATACAGTTGAGCATATTAGTAATGGATAGCATAATCAGAACTTCAGAAGCCCTTGAGTACTTGCACTCCATTTGTTGCTTTCTCAAAGTCTCCGCTTCTAACTCCATACTGTTTGCTTAACCAATTCTTTATTAATTACTTTGATTTGTTTAGTATATTCTCATATTTGGGACCCTATTGCAGGTGGCAGTTCAAGTATGGTTAGCTTGAGGAGACGTCGACTATTGGGTCTTTGTTCTGGTAAGACAAACTCATTACACTGTGAAACATCTTGCTGATATGTTGTAAAGAATCGTTTAGATTCTGTTGTAAAGAATTGTTAAGAGAATCTATGTTGTGAAAATGTGTAAATATTTTTAGTTTTATGTATAATATGCTGTCAAAACATGGCTTTTCATCATACTGATCAATTCCATTCCTGTATTCAATTGAACCTTCTAGTATATCCTATGTGGTAAATTGTTCCAGATAAAAGAAAATAAATTGTACATAAAGAGCTATAGCTAGCTCTAATCTGTTCTTGTTCTATATATAACAAACTTTTGTGAAATTTGCATTCAAAGAATGTACTAGGGTGCTCCATGGCCCACATTTAAGTGTGTTTGGTACTTCTGTAAACACTGAAGCGGGAGGTGTGAGTAGTTATGGGATGATAAAATGTATGGAGAGCATGTGTTGTTGAGCGGGATATCCAATTGTGAATTAATTGCTGCCGGTACAAGCACGGCGGTTAAAAACAATTTTGGCAGGAACTGCTGGTACCGACATGATGGGACCATAATTGGACGCGACGTGACACAATATTTCTGTTCCAAGGTTTGCAATGGTGGGAATGCTAATAGATTAACCATTTCATGATAATGGGTATGCTTATTGTATACTCATGAAACTGAGTGTAAATTGACAAAATGACAAGGCAAAGCTTCCATTCTTTTCATAATTCTTTGATGATGTATATAACTGTTTTTTTAGGGGTTGTTTAGAGGCCAAATTTCACCACTTCACCATCTGTGTGTGAAGGTAGCAGCTTGTTTGTTTATAAGCCAAAACTCTGCCTTGCACCATGTAAATTTGTACGAATTAGACATGATGCTTTGGTTTAATTGTAGATGTCCATTCTGTCAGGTGGGGCTCACCTTGAATCCCCTTGAGTGATTTAGCAATGGTTAGAGGCCAGTTAGGATGATATTTGAGGCATATTATAGCTGGCTTACTCGTTGCAATTTGTGGCGTACCCGACTGGCTAAGTTGTCCAAGCCAGGAGGTGACTTTTCACAAGGGTATCTCTGATGTACCTTGTTAGGTCACAAGGAAGCAGCTTATCCATCCCGCCTCGACTAGTCTACTTGGCTGTCGACACAGCACTTCGACTCAACTCCTGCTGTAGTCGATCGACCTCTCGACTTGCCTTTGACTATTCTTGACTAGTCAAGGGCTTTTAGTTGAGTGACTGGTCAAAAGGCCCACTTATTAGGTTTGTCTAGGAGCATAAGGCTTTACTCCGTGGAGTATGTGCTCTAAACGTAGCTCTTTGTACGGCAGGCTGCACAACGGGCCACTTCTAGCAGGCCGCGGCTGGTGGCGGTTATTGTTGCAGTTGTTTCACCTCTGCTCCTCCTCTATCTCTACTCCTCCGCCTGCTCTGCTCCTCCCCCAACTAAAGCACTCTGCTCCTTCAATATTTACGTATCATACTAGTATTTGTGCTATCTACTTCCTCGACTACTTGAACACTACACATGACTAGTCACGACTAGTTTATGAGTTGGTAAGTGGGGTCTTGTCTTGACTCATTGACTCACCATGTTGGCTTCTTATGCCCTCGAAGGTCACATCAGACATGCCTAGGACAAAAACCTACCTACCGCACTGGATAACTCTGCATCAAATGCAGCTTCCTGTCCTGCATGTCAACATGCCATTGCCACCTCCCTGCATAGCCAAGTGCTATCAAACCGGGTGCAGGGTGGTCAATTTGTCTAATTTATATTGTAGGGAGTGGAAATTTCATTTCCAAATGTGCAGGCTGCCAATTTGCAGAAACAGATGGTGAAAAGTAGAAGTGACTCATGTTGAATAAATCATACGAGAGCACTATTTATAGAGCGGGAAGTCTTTTTTTTTTCCTTTGCCATGTAGGGCCATCTTTTTTTTCCAGGATTACATCATCATTTCGAGAAAAGTGGTATCAGTAGTTCTGGCACTCCTGTAACCTGTTACCATTTTACATTCCCAAGCAACAGACTTAGAAAAAATTGGCAATAACATACGTGTACACATTTCATATTCATATATGTATGTGCAAATAGTCAGGAAACATTTGTGGAGTAGAACCCAATTTGTGCATTAATACTGAGAAGTACATGGAAATAAACCTTTGTGAGTACAGCTCTGCTATGTAGGTTACTGGTGGAATCTGCAGGACTTATAGGTTAACTATTGGTTTGACGAATAATGAAAATAGCTTACCAAGACTGTTGGATTTTTTTCCAGACCACCATTATATTATTGTTATCATTTTTCTTCCCATTATTGGAACCCAAATAAGGTAGGATCATTTACATAAAATAATAATTGTACGGGTCAATGAACTCAGTATGTATTTGGGATCTTTTGAACAGTTTATCACTTTAGATTTTGTTTCAGGCAAAGATTCATTGCCAGTTGATCTTCCTAAGCCTGTTGAGAATGAAAAACATGGGGAAGTTGAACATGCAAATGTCAATCCGCTCAGTGTGCACCCACTGCCCTTGGTAAGCCTATTTTTAATGCTATTGAAAACGTGTTTATAATGGCAAGGACTGCCTTGCTTCATGAAGAAACCTTTTGCTGCAGACCAGGACTTCTGACGTACTTCCAGAATCCTCAAATGGTTCCGACTCTCTTAAGGAAGAGAAAAACCAATACTATCCAGGTTTGTACTTTTTCTTACATAGTATTCTCGGTATTTCTTGTAACCGTATACAATGCATAATATTTGTGGTCACTTTAGATGGAGGTGACGTGTTCTAGAGTTACATATGAAGTTTCCAAGCAAATTAAGATTCGTTAACAGAATATGTATCAGTTTTCATGCACTATATTTTCGCAAAACTATTGTTAAGTTGATGACAGAGTTGTGATCTCATTGCCAAGAAGGCATTCTACAGTCTAAGTTCGATTAAATTTGGCTCCAGTATAAACTACTCCCTCCGTCCCATAATATCAGATGTTATTACAACCGATATGTGAGTATATCAGTTGTAATAACATCTGATATTATGGGACGGAGGGAGTACAAAGCAAGTCATGTTTGACTTTCTTCGTCTCTTAATGGTTGAACCACCAAGCAGTTTTCATACAATTAGATTACATTTTGTATTAGCGTGATTTATCTTACCTTCATCCTCGTCAAAGATTGCATGATATGCGCATTGAACATAAAAAATGACTAGCTAATCAACACATTTTGTTTCGGCTTTTCTTACCATTTTAGGTAAGGAGATTAAGCGCAGAAAGCGACATAGAAGAAAGCAGTATGTGGACCAAGAGCCATGCATAATGAGAGGGGTCTACTTCAAAAATATGAAATGGCAAGCTGCTATAAAAGTTGACAAGAAACAAATTCACTTGGGTACTGTTGGAACACAGGATGAGGCAGCCCGGCTATATGATAGGTATTATCTGGACTAAGCTTTACTGTTATTGGTAGAACTCGGGGATGACATCAACCCTCCCGATCTCAGATCGTAGGGGTTCTCGATAAGAGGCCGGCCCCAAAGCTACGGATTGATACGAATAAGGAGACTGGGACGTAGGTTTACTTTGAGTTTAATTAATTCCTTGATATTCAGAATGACCATTCCTGGCACTTTACAAGAGTCCCTAAGTTGTGGGCTAAGCCAAATACAAGTCTAAACTAATATCATCTAACTGAAAGGAATTATCTGGATTGAGCTTTCTTGTGAGCTTTGATCATAATATCTCCACTCCTGTTTTCAAATAGCTTGTCCTCAAACTGGATTGATAGATGGTTGTCACAGTAGGAGGAGAGGCCTTCCACAGAAGCAACAACAGCTGAAAGGCCTAGTCTTTCTTGCCAACATGTTCATCATCATAACCGGGAACAATCTAGATAGCCAGGAGCTGCTTGCAATGATGACCAGCACATAACTTCTCATCACAGATGAAACAAAGAGCTGGACTTCGTCGCATGTTCATCTTTGTACGAGACAGCTGTTTGAATGGCTTGGATCCTATGGATGCTGTTGTGCTGAGCTCTCTGCTGGTGCGGCTGGTGCCATTGTTGTCATTCCATAACGCATGGGATGCCCTAGGACAGAAGCTACAGCTTGGTGCTCCCCTTACAATAACAAATCCAATTTCAAAGGGATTTCCTCCCCGGGTTGAGAAAACTTTTCTTCTTCCAATTCTTCTTTTCTTCATTCAACTCAGTTAAAAAAAGATACCTCAAAATATTTTAATTGGTATGCGCAAGAAATAGACCAATTTGGCAGTTTTTTGTTCAATTTCTCGTGGATTAAAAAACTTATCATCAGTATGAGTCAAGGGAATGATCCCCTAGCTCCGGATTTCCATACTTATCAAAAGCTCAATTTTGTACTAGATCGGGGCATCCTATTAGTAAACCCATTCGGACAGATTTAATAGATTGGGATATTCTTGATGGATTTGGTAGAATATGTAGAAATCTTTTTCATTATCATAGTGGATCTTCGAAAAAACGGACTTCGTATCGACTAAAGTATATACTTCGACGTTCATGCGCAGAACTTTAGGTCGTAAACAGGCCTATGTCCTCATCAAGTGTTGCCGGTTTGGCGAGGCTCTACCTGAGTCTTGAGTGGATCAGGAGCGGGATAAACATGTTATACCCTCCAGTAGGCCAGGACGAAGCTGCGGTAGCGGCGACAACAGCAGTCTACTCAGCGGTCTTCTTGTCAGTAGCGGCCTTCTTGGCAGCGATTCTCTCGGCTTCGGTGGACATGGTGATGATGAAGGCGACGTGGACGTAGACGATGTAGTGGACGTAGATGAACGGCAGCGAGAGTTGTGTAGGAGACGCTCCACTAAAACCTAATCGCCCCTCTCCCGTACAGGATCTCGAGAGGCGGGGTTTCGGAGGCCTGCTCTCACGTCAATCGTGTACGTGGTGGACGGGATGAGATCACCGGCGGCAGCAGCAGCAAAAGGAACGACAGTGGACGGTGGGCGTGGAGGCAGAGCAGATGCGATCTGTTCTTCTGGTGGCGGCTAGGGTTGCCGACGCATCCATTGTCGGGTAGGAGGACGTGGGCTGGACCCACAGAGTCGGTGACAGCCCACGATCCGACTTCTCGGATTCGTGGCGTGTCTGTTATGGACTCTCCTTTTCTGACCGGCAAAAATTAAGCGCATTGGTGTGAGGTTGGCTTGGCTCATTCCCGCAATCCGCGCGCGTCGCGGCGAGGCTGGCGGCGGAGGAGGAGCGCGCGGGGACGGGAAAGACGTTGCATATTTGTTAATGAAGGGCATCCTCCTGGAGCGTGGGGACGGGAAAGACGTTGCCAGCTGGGATCGTGTGTGTGGACAGAAAGGCTCTGCTTGGGCTTGATCTGGGAGGGGTGCTGCTGCCGGTTGACAAGAGCGGCCCGATCTGAGGGCGATGCTGACCAGCGGGAGCTTCCATCTGTGATTAAAGCAATTGGTCAAGAGTAGAGAGTAGAGATCGACTGGCAGAGACGGAAAAAATCGATTGAGATAGAGAGAGAACTCGATCAGTAGAGAGGACAAGTCGCAGCGTCTGGAGGAGACCTAAACCTAGGCTCTAATACATGTTATGGATGCAACTTAATTCATCGCTTCATTTCCAGAATAACCATCCCTAACATTATATAGTCACGATTTACAAGAGTACCTAACTTGTAGGCTAAGTCAAATACAAATATAAACTAATCTTATCTACTAAAAGAAAATAACAGATTGATCTTTCCTATCTAGCTTTCCTGCGCCTGGGCCATTACGGTTGTGTACATATGCATGGTTATGTTATTTCCATCACCAACTTATGCATGATTCTGACACTCCCCATCTTTCTTCTAGAATGCATCAGCTTGATCACCATTCTGCTGTTTCTTATCATATTAGACTCTTTTGACATTTTTCATGAGCAGGACAGTCATTATTCCTGCACAGTATTTTTTATGTTTTATTAACTCCGTCCCAAATTAGTGTTAGACACATCCGTATCTAGACAAATCTAAGACAAGTAATTTGGGACGGAGGGAATATATTACAGTCTGGTGCCCATAGCTTGAACGTCAGTGCCCTGGGTGGTATCCAAAGCAATGAGCTAGTCTAGTTTAATACTTCTGGCGTATTCTATACTACTTAATTCAAAAGGTTAACAATATATTTTAGGATTACCATTTACAAAACAATATACTTGCAAGTAATATGTATAGTTGTGTAATGATTAAAGAAAGTTATTCGTATATATAATGGTTAGACAGTACTAATATGGTAGAAGATCACTGCCCAATGGCCAAGGCAAAGTCCGCTTCATGTTCATTTGGCAATATGCACTAAGTTCTACAGAAAAGCAAGCTGTTTCTCAGAACTTGTGGAAGGGCGTATGCATAATTCTGCAATGCTTAATTCTTTTGACAACAAGAAGCCAATGACTAATCATGCTAGTAAAATTCCCTAAATATTTTGGTCCTTGGGCTTAAGTTGCAAGTATTAGTCTCTACCATTACAGTGTTCTGTAGAAACCTAATGGCAGCTTTGTCTCCCTAGATACTTTCATACTGTTGGTCCTTTATTTTGGTCAAGTGATATGGATGTGTGGCATGCTTTTGTCATGATTCCGCACCATTTTCTTTTGTAAGGGGATATTCAATACCTTGACAAAGTCAAGCTTTTTCTCTACGTGCAGGGCTGCTTTTATGTGTGGAAGAGAGCCCAATTTTGAACTTTCTGAGGAAGAGAAAAACGAACTGGTTAAGTACACATGGGACGATTTCCTGGCAATAACACGCAACACCATAACCAGCAAAAGTGAGACTTGTCATGAAGTATTTTGTTAGTCATCACTTGGCAAAAATGACTGCAATAGCATAGCATAATTTGTCTTTGTTTCCTTGTCTCCAGAACAAAGAAAGGTTGGGTCGCGAAGGCATAATAAGGCAGACTTGTTCATAGGAGATACTGAGATGGTCAATGGTGGCGGGTCTTCGAACTCAGATGATGGAGATGTTGACACATCGGTATCCTAGATCGCCGCCAGGACATGGACACCCAAATGGAGTCCGTCCCACAGAT